CAGGATGGCCGAGGGCCGGCGCGTCGCCGCGCTGCTGCTGCTCAGCCCCGTGCTGCTGCTGGTCGCGATCCGGCCGGTCAAGGCCGCAGAGAGCAACCACACCCCCGGGGCGGGGCCGTGCTACAAGCAGGAGACGTGAGTGCGCCGTCCTCGCCCAAAGTCTTTACCACACCAACCCTCGTTTAACTTGCTCGCCATAATATGCCATCCCTCAGATACAACGCGACCGTGGAGACGACGGTCACGGTGCAGGTGAATAAGACCAAGTACGACTGGTGTCTGGGGGGCTTCATGCGCTGCCAGGTGTACAGGCTGGAGAACGTGGACCGGTTGCAGAATGTGGTGAGTAGCCGAGTCTTGATTTCCTGTAAAGGGTGTGCATTGGGGGAGTGTGGGGTGTGCACAATACACCGTGTACATCGTATGGACTTTGTTTTTTCTGTAGACCCAAGTGCACACACGGAACATCGAGACGTGCTGCCCGGGAACAGAGCCCACCAGGCCGCCCGTGACGGGGAAGAACGTGTCCCTCCACTGCGTGCCCATCAGGCCGCCCACCACGACGACGACGACAACCACCACCACGACCGTGGCGCCAACGACCATCACCACGACCACGCAGTTGCCAACGACGCGCCCCACCATGCCACCGGTCACCAAGGCCCGACCCACCACGACGACGACCACCACCACCACAACGACAACAACAACTACTACGACACCGCCACCCACCACACCCACCACAACCACCACTACGGAGGCAACCACAGCAATGGCGACTTTCACGACACCGAGGGAGAGTGAGTATTTGCCTGAACGAGCCCGAGAGGGGTAGTGTGTGGCGTAGGGGTTGCACTCACCATGCTTGCTCTCTGTTCCTAGCGTGTCGCATGGGGCTGTGGGGGCGGGGGTGTTCGTACGAGTGCACCTGCGGCGCGGGCTGGCCCTGCGACCAGGACACGGGAGCCTGCCCTGCCGGGGCCCCTGGCCCCGCCATCCCCTCCCTTCCCCCCGCCACCTCCACCAGACCCACCACGACCACCACCGTCACGCCGTCGCGAGCCGCCACTGTAAGTACCGACCGTGCTGCTGGGCTGACCCAACCACCCCAACACCCCAGCGTGCCCGTGAAAACAGCAGACACTGCCCCACCCCAACCCGCCCCGCCCTCTGGCCCTCGCACCGACGAGCCGACGCCCACGCCGTACCCTTACACCTACTCGTACTCGCGGCCCGCCATCACCAAGGCCACGACCGCGGCGCTGCCCAGCTTCGAGGAGTCCAACAAGGTCCCTGACCAAGACAAGAACGCCGGCAAGAAGGTTGACATGGGCGCCGACAAAAGCCCGAGGCCGTCGGTCAAGGAGGTGGAGGAGACGGTGGCGACCAAGACCCACAAGGAGGTGCACCAGGTGGCGTGGCCCAAGGCTGTCGCTCCGAGCAGCACGACGGAGACGAACGACGCGGACGTGTTCTCGGGTTCCGTTGAGACGGATCCGAGCGCCAAGCTGAGGGAAGGCCCGGGGCCGATGATCGTCTCGGTACCTGACTGGGACTTCCCCACCTCCCCAGAGGCATCCTCAACGACAACTACAGCGCCGAGCCCCTCGCCCAGCATGCCAAGCTGGAGGTTCGTCGAAAAACGACCGAGTTCCATCATGAGCGCGCCAGCGACTGCCGCGTCCTCCACGGCAGCCACGGAGCCACCGACGCCCCGGGTCACAACGAGAGCACCGACCCGACTGACGGACCCGCCCACCTCACCGACCACACAGACGACCACGGTTCAGTACGAAGTACAATACGCGTCGCCATCGACGGTACAGTACGAGACGCAGAGCGCAACACGACGCGACGGCCGTGATTACTCTACTTTAGAGACCCACCCTCCACTCCACTATACGACGCCCGTTACAAGGAACGCTCACATTGAACTTGCAATCAGCACTTTATCTCCTCTAAGGAATGACCCAACCACTGCACTCCCCCCTCGACCTCCCACCCAAGTCCATACTGTCGCTTCCATACAACCATGGACTGAACCAACCACACAAGCCCCCACCACACCACCCACCCAACCTTCTACTCAACCTACTCCTCAACCGTTACCTCTCCCAACTCAGGCATCGACTCAGCTCCCGAACGAACCCCTATCACAGTCCACAACTCGACTCGTGACCCAATCTCCGACCCATCCACCAACTAAACCGCAGACTCAGCCTTCAACCGAACCCCCGACGCAACCACCTACACAACGCCTAACACATCCCCCAATTCAACCCCCTACCCAAGCTCCGACTCAACCTGAAAGTCAACCTTCAACTCAACCCCCGACACAACCACCTACTCAACCTCTGACTGACCTGGCAACTCAACCACCAACCCCACCCCCAACTCCACCCCCAACTGCACCTCCAACTACACCCCCAACTCAACCCCCAACTGAACGTCACACTCAACCCCTGCCTCAACATACGATTGAGCGCATGGTAGAAGGGGAAATAAGACAGTCTTCGTCTTCAACCGAACCTGCAGTTTTCCTTTTTACGACACTCTCAACCGTTGTTCCTACTCAACCCCCAACCCACACGTCGACCGAGCCCCCAACGCAACTTACCTCACTCTCAACATTTAGACCTTCAACGCCATCTCCGACCATTCTCCCAACCCAACGTACGACCCGACCCGCCGTCGAATACACAACTCCATTGATGACGAAGCCTCCGCCTCAACCCTCCACTCACTCGCCCACCAGACTCGCCACAACTCAGCCCGCAACGTACCCCCCCTTTTCACAGCCTACTTGGCCACCAGTTGAACGCGACTTGTGGACCTCTCCTTTCACTCCTCGATTTACTATCCGGACTACCACGCCGACAACGACTCAGCCACCCACAGAGCCAAGCACGCAACCACCGACTCAACCACCAACACAACCAAGCACGCAACCTCCCACTCGACCACCTACTCGACCTCCTACTCGACCTCCTACTCGACC